ATATAAAATAAAGAATACAACGAAATGCACTGGAATAAGAAGAATAAAACATTGCTGGTCCTAAGGAGTAAAAGCAAAAACGTCACTAGGCTTTCCTTCGCTCTGTTATCTAGAAATGAACGGATGGTTTTTGATATGTTAGGTTGTTTGGGAGTGTTGCGAAGCGATCGATGGGAATTTGTTTGTGTTGTTAAGGAACAAACATCACATCCTCTACGTCTTTTTTCACGCTAGACATTGACCCCCGGAGAGAAGGAGGGGGAAGGAGTGTCGCGGCAGCCAGCCGGCCGACCATCTGTTTGTTTGGCGTGGCATTCCTGAAATCAGAGCCGTTCTAAATGGCCAGATGATTTCAGGACTGCCACGCCAGATAGATGAATGGATGATTATTGCAATGTTTCCTCATATTTAAAGTTTTATTGGAAAACTGAATCTTTTTCTGACTCACAATGGAAAAATTCCCAGGCACGTTTGAACAGCTAAAAATGTTGTTAGTAAAATTTTGACAGATGGCCAAATAATGAGACGTAAATGAGACGTTACTTGAACTCGACAGGGGTTTAGCATTCGGTCGCACGCTCAAATATTCTAATTGCAAGTAGATCAAAAGCCAGTACTAAGTTCGTGCAATCGATTGATCTTCCATAAATTTCTCGCAAAATTAAGGTCCAAAGCCGAGCTCACGGCGCCCACCCAGACAGCGGTTCAGGTCTATCGCGTTCCTCTCCACTCCACACCTTTCCCACCCATAGGTGGTTCCAAAGCACTGCCTATCCCTGCCACATAAATTTTCGGGATGCACTTTATGATGTTCCAAAAAGTAATTCCATAACTGGACAGTACACAAAAGGAGCTGAAAAAACTATGTCTTGGAAGAACTGTGGTTCGAGAGCTAAGCTACCTCCAGGATTGTTTCAGACGCTACAATGGCTTGAAGTGGCACATCAAAGAGCTTCTGGCAGCTCTCGACGATGACATCGATCAGTTTTCGTCGATCCCCGATTTCAGCTATAGAAGAAATCTAGCCAGGGCCGCAATTTCTCAGATGTGTGAAAATCCCGCACAAGATTTGAGCTCAGATGAGGACGTTCCAGTTGAGAGTCTCCAACTGCACACGGTATGTGAGAATATGTATTTGCAAAATTCAGTGATCACAAAGTTTGAAAGGCAGAGCTAATTTTGAGACGCAATCGGTGGAGAGGCATTGGGAAGCGGTCAGACTTGATCCACCAATGAGGTGTCCGAGTGCTCCACCTCCAACTATCATTCAATTTCATTTTATGGTATTTGTATAAGAACTTAGATGAATAAGCTCCAAAGCAGCTACACAGTGTAACTAGTTGCCAGTGAGTTCTGATCTTCATAAAATTGAAGGAATGGTCGCAAAATGGCTTTGAAACTAATGGAGGACCGGATCCTACCGAGTCCTCTGACACATGTACGACTGGCAAAGCTGTTTTTATCAACGATGTGAAGATTGAAGGTGTTTTTCATTACTGATTATGTAATTTTTTTGTTATTGTTTATTCAAAACTTTGTCTTGGTTTGTTTAGAGTTAATTGTTTATTACAATACTAACAACGACTGCGTAAGATGCTAGTAGTGACTTGATGGATGCACCATTTGTGACTCCCGTCGCTTGCCTGTCAACCTCGACTCGCTTGATTTATTGAGGACTGTAACCAGGATGG